TGGAAAGATAAAAGAGCTAACGCATGGGATTAACTGCTGTAGATTATATTATTCTCCCTTTTATGACATTATGTCTTGTAAGGGGCAAAATATTGAGGCCCCTTTATCCCGTTTGGATGCATTTCCTTCTAATTGGTCAAGGACCCTAATTCTTTTTATGACTTATGATTCCATTATAATGTTGAAATTCAGACAAGTAATGAGTTTACATTTACATTATTATATGAAATCACCTACTACAGTCAGCCATTGAATACTATGGGCCTAAAAAAAAGCATAATTTTCTTTCAGGTATACCTTTTTTATTATATAGATGTAATATTTTCTTCATTCTATTTGTTTTTATTTATTTATTTTCATTTAACTTACACACCTCTAAGAATGAAAATACCTGCATGTTCAATCTTTCTTCTGTTGAGCATAAAAGAAGATATGTTGCAGAATGTTGGTAATCAAACAGTTAAATGCGTAATTTTCTTTTAGGTATACCTTTTTTATTATATAGATTTTCTTCATTCTGTTTATTTTCATTTAACTCTTTGATACACAATACCCTGCTGGGGCAACTTAATGGCTGCACTTTGTTCTGCACTATGTTCCACCGCTTTAAGACAAATGGATTTGTTGTGTTTTCATATTCAAGAGATTATAAGCTAGATGCAACTTTTTTTGGGTTTGCATCGAATGTTCTTGGACTTTAATGCATGATAACTTTGTTTATGAATAAAGATTGATCTGTTGAAAGCAGTTATTATGAGTTAGATGCCAAAAGCTCTCCTCCTATTCAAATTTGACATTGAAGGGGTGCATACAACATATTTGCCCACCGGCAGCTATAGTTGCCGCACATTCAAATACGATTTTCAAGAAAAAAAACTAAAACCTGGGGAAAATAAATGCAGAACATGTTCACATAGGACACTATTAACATGACTATATGCATGAAACCATTCAGAAAAATTTGGGCACAAATGGGTTAAAACCGTTCACAGTACTCTAGCATTGTGTTACATGGGCAAACTCTATATATATATGTAAGACAAAACAGAAAAGCAACAGAAATCAAGGTAAATACCACTTATAAATAGTATTGTAAGATGTAATTTTGTCAGTGCTGATTTGTTTGATATATAATTTCGAGGCTGTTTAACCATTTGAAATGCAAGTAGAATATTTGGTGTAGAATTCAAATGGGTCGAATGTAGTTTGTGGTCTCCAACACTATATTGAGGTATTGAGCCTGACTGAATTGTGCATATGATCCACTTTGCTTTGCACTATCCAGGCATCATTAGCAGCTGAAAGCATATTTACTGTCTGAAATTGCTCCCATTTCCATGTATAATGCACTGTGTGCCAATTACTATACAGTCAGGAAGAGTGATTTATTGACACTTTTAAACATGGTCAAGACACACTGCAAAGAATTGCCAGGAATTTTCAAGATTAAAGAGTATTATTTTACAATAAATTTGCAACATGTGGGAGGCGTGACAACGCAGTAGTGAATCCAAGTGCAGGCTTTATTCAAAGGAGTGGTCAAACAGGCAGGGCCCACAACAGCAAACAGGCACAATCCAGGATGAGACAAAAGAGTAATCCAATAAACAGGCAAAGGTCTGGTAAGGGTAACAATTTAATTGATGTACAACTAATAAAAAACAGATATAATACAGATAAACAAATGATAAAGCTTGGCTTAATGAATATTAGATCCCTTTTGGAACGTTGGGAGGCATGACAACGGAGTTGAATCCAAATGCGGGTTTTATTCAGAAGAGTGGTCAAAACAAGTAGGGTCAAACAACAGCAATCATGTACAATCCAGGATGAGAGTAATCCAATAAACAGGCGAAGGTCAGGGCAGGCACCAAACAATCAGAAAACAAGGAAACAGTCCAGGGATCAGGATGATGGAGGTAACAAGACACAGGTGAATGCAATCAGTGATCAAGAGTCCAGGCAAAGGATTATGGGGAATGTAGTTAGTAAAGGAGTGACAACTCCAAGTCTGGGGTGGAGTGCCCTCTGGAGGAGCTCATAGGCATTCCAGCTGGTGATCGTAACAAAATTACTGTAGTCAGAAATTAACTGTGAAATCAATGCATGCTGGTCATTTTCTTACAAATGACTGTGAATGAACAGCAGAATGATGCTAACATCACAGTCATTAACTGCTCTTGTTTTACTGTGAATTCACATTATAAAGTTGTCTTTAACTGTGCCACTGTGAGAAATTTAGTTGTTTTCTGCTGTAATTGTTTTGAAGTCACCATAATGGTGATTGGTGATTTGTTTGGGATCTTTGACCTTGAATATTTGTATTTAAATTTCTGATCTAGTCATGTAAGAAGTGTGACAAATGAAAATATTTGTTAAAATGATGATAAGCTAGAATATGAAATAAGCGAATTACCTGACTTTAAGATAGTCAGACTATTCTTAGCATGAACATGATTTTATTGTTTAAAGTCACCATAATGGTGATTGGTGATTTGTTTGGGATCTTTGACCTTGAATATTTGTATTTAAATTTCTGATCTAGTCATGTAAGAAGTGTGACAAATGAAAATATTTGTTAAAATGATGACAAGCTAGAATATGAAATAAGCGAATTACCTGACTTTAAGATAGTCAAACTATTCTTAGCATGAACATGATTTTATTGTAGCATTATTTAAGCATGAAGATTAATCAATAACTTATTTCATATTCATAACTGTTTGTGGATGAATCTTTCACGAGAGTGAAACAACTGCTGAGAAACGTCTTTGAAAGATGCGACATCAAAACTCAACACAAAAATGGTAACACTCAACAAATAAAACCAACACTTACAACATAAACCAACAACACAAACTGCTAAAAGTGAACCAAAAACAAGTTCAGTAGCACAAATAAAACCAACAAGAATGAAAAAAATTCTACAGCATGATTTATTCGTGCTGCATTGCATGCTGGGAACCTTCAGAGTACATCTGCACTGTAGAAACACAGTATGATGCTGTTTGTTCACAAGAGAAGTCCCACTGAAAGTAATGCAATTATTAACCTGGAATCTACTGTAATTTCACACAAAACATTTTAACAGTGCATGTTTATTAAAATGCACAGATGATTTGTTCACAATTATAACAGTAGCATGTATTAAGAGAATAAACAGGCTCAGTTTTGATTTCATGCCGAGAAATAAAATCTATGCTGCATATCTTGTTAGAAAGTGTTAGTGGACAGATGTGTGAGTTTATTTTCTAAACCTCAACAAAGCCCGTAGTTGAAGAATAACTTTTATATTTTGTTTCATTGCATCTTTTTTTTTTTTGCTTGAGTAACAACAGTGTTAAACATCAGTGTTAGTATGATTGGATTGGCGTGAAGCATATATAGATATAATGTAAACATTTCTGCTCGTCTTTACAATAGCCGTGTCTTATTTCGAAGGCTGCGCCCTCTGGAGGTCACATTTTTAGGGCACATACGCCATTAAGGACGTCTTATTTAAGAAAAGCAACCATAATAATATTCCTCTTGAGGTGTAAATTACTGTAATTTCTTTCATATTTTGCGATGTAAAGGTTTCTTTTCTTAAATGAGACTCATCCTCTGTGCTGTGTGTGGCTGACAAATACGACCTCTGGAGGGCGCAGCATTCGAAATGAGACACAGCTAACAATAGGCATGAGTTCATTTTCTTCTTTCATTGGGTTTCTGTTGGTTCTTGGATTACAGTGTCATTCGTTTGGTAGTAGATAGTGTTTATAGCAAGTGAAGTGTGAAATTTGCTTTTCATTGGTTGGTGTTTAGTACATTAAGCCACATCTCTGTGTTTGTGTGTGTCTACTTAACCATATTTTGAAGACAAATGTGTACCCAGACCTGCAAAAAAAGAGAGAAAAACTCCTTTTGGGTACGTCCTCATTTGTAAAACAGTATAAAAATAAAGTGCTCCCCTGCTACTGGACATAATGCAATGGAAAGCCAGTACATACTTTGTAATGCATTTTGATGTAGTTTTGACTGTTGTCCAAATCTCTCCCACACAGCAGGCTTATTTTGAGACGTATACGAAGCTGCCTGGGTATTATGTCAAAAAGTACTGGATTATTGAATTTTATAAATGCTGCAATGATGACCCTCCACCCAGAATAATGTCTCTGTGTGTCTGTATGAATCTCTCTGGTGTTTGCTTTCACTCAGTAATGGTGGATGTAGATGAGCAGAGATCTGATAAACAGGTTCACCGGTTGCGTGAAATCGTCATCTGGTGTGAGTTTAGTGGCGCATCTTGCACCTCTTCATCTGCCCACTCAGTCTCTGCACAGACGATCATCTCTGGTGCTCTTGAATGCTGGAGTGTAGGCCACTGATGCGTTTGTAGTTAATATTCCTCTGAGGTTCGTCAGAGTGCAGGAAGCCCCCGAGGTACTGGAGTATTCACTCCGCTGATGTTTGGCCACCAGAGCTGCTATTTTTACCAGGGTTTATATCGAGATGAAGACACTTCTCTTCAAACCATGTCTGTTCTTAAAGGGGTCATATGATGCTGCTAAAAATAACATTATTTGTTTGGGCGGCGTTATGCAAATCTTCCCACATCGTGACGTAGACATGTGGGGGCGTGTTAGAACGAGCCGTTTTAGGTAGGCGTGGCTGACTCTTAACTTTTATAAAGAATATCTCTTTGGATTTGAGACTTTAGTCTTTGCAACTTTACAGATCTTCTTTATGCACCAAGAGCTTGTAACACTCCAAAGAGAAAGGAAAAATTGAAATCGCATCATATGACCCCTTTAAGGCCTGTTTACAGCTAGAAATGTCACAAATGCAATATTTTAATTTGCATCAGCTGTTGTTAACACATCTGACATCAGCATGGCATCGCTGCGAAGAAAATTGAATGCACACAAAAGTCTGTTCGTAAATTTAAATGAAGCCCCCTGAAGTCTCAGATTTTGTTCAACAATGGAATAAAACGTTTCTATTGTCTGTTTGTCTGTCAGACGGCAGCAGAATATGCCAAGTCGCATCTTCCCGTCATGTTGCGGCAGCAACTTCAGCGTTATGGGAAGCAGAAGGAGAACAGCGCTGTGACCCGCCAGTCCATCCTCAAACAGCAGATACTCAGCATGGACAAAGAGATTCTGGAGAAACTGTCGGCCTCCTATGATGAAGCAGGTGAGAGCTCACAGCAGTGAACCTGTAGTCTGATATTTATTTAGTCAGTCTGCAATCATTAGACCTTGGAGCTGAGCACTCAGTGGAATAGTTCACGCAGAAATGAAGTGTGCTCACCCTCAGTTCATCCGAGATCAGGATGAGTTTGTTTCTTCATCAGGTTTGTAGAAATGCAGCATTGCATCAGTGTCTCAGTCCTCCCTTTCTGCCGGCCCCCATTCACTGCAGAGCATCCATTGCTGAGACACTGATGTACATACTGTGAACAGTACTGCTTCATACAGAACTGTGTAGCGTAAGTAGTTGGCAGTGTTCAGATTAAACTGCATAGTACCCAATAATCACAATCAGCTGTGACTGGTCCATGAAGCCGTCTGTGCACTACCCCAGTGGGACATTTTCTTCAGAAATGTATTACATTGCTGCCACAGAGTTGTTAGTGATGATGGGTTTATCAGTTAAGGGTTGTTCTCTTTCATGAGGTATTTCGCTCACTTGTTTTGAAAGGATAAGGTCAGCTCCTGTGCGGTTTGTGTCGCTGTCAGGTACCACGTGTCTGGTGGCTCTGCTGTCTGAGAAGGAGCTGACTGTGGCGAATGTTGGCGATTCGAGGGCGGTTCTGTGTGATAAAGACGGTAATGCTGTCCCGCTGTCACATGACCACAAACCCTACCAGCTTAAAGAGCGGAAGAGAATCAAGAAAGCAGGTGAGCAGCTCATCTAATCATGTGGCCTCACGGTACAAATTTCACTTGTATCTTTGATCTATTGTATTTCTTTGTGATGTTGCTTGTAATTTGTTTATTTGTTCTTATTTTATTGCTGACTGTTCATTTGTCTTCAAAAATGTTTGAAATCTAAATTCGTTTGACTAGTAGTTTTTGCTGCGGTATTAAAATTGGAACTGATAATTGTGAAATTTCACTGGTTTATTAGAATAATGTTACATGGGTCAAAACATGAAAACAATAAATATTTATTAATATTATTATTATTATTAGTGTATTTATGTTTGTGAGTGTGTGTCTGTGTGTGTGTGTGTGTGAGTGAGTGAGTGAGGGGACTTGTGTCAGTGTGGGGACCTAAATTGAGGTCCCCATGGGTACAGAAGCTTATAAATCATACAGAATGATTTTTTTTTGCGAAAGTAAAAATGCAGAAAGTTTCCTGTGAGGGGTGGGTTTAGGTGTAGGGTTGGTGTGTGTGTGTGTGTGTGTGTGTCTGTGTGTGTGTGTGAGTGAGTGAGTGAGTGTGTGTGTGTGTGTGAGT